TAGAGGTGCTAATGACATGAAATTTTCACCAGATGTTGGTAACATCTGGTGAAAATTTCATGTCATTAGCACCTCTAGTAATATATTTACTGAGAAAAATGGTGACGTGTTCAATACTTATTTTACCCGCTGTATTGCTTTAGCTGATATTTTCTCTTTGAACTGATCTGACAAGTCCTTCAAACCACCCAGCTGACCTGCGAGTAACCTCAGTTTACAAGTCCAAATTAAGATAAGCGGGGGTTGCCAGAAAGTCAAACAGATGAACTTTAAATGACATGGCTCTATCTTATCTTTTACAAGGAAGTGTGGTGTCATGAAAAAAAAAACCTAAGCTCCTCCACAATAACAATGCTGCACACTGCAGAACAGTCTTCGATGTGATACTTCACAGACTTATCAAAAGATCACCAAAAAAATAAGTGAGGGGAACATTTTAATGGTCAGCTTTATTGGTGAAAGAGCAACATCCTCTGCAGCGCACGTGCCGCTTTATCTCATTTTACATGCACAATGTACATATTTGACAACAAAATTCACAGATTAAAGTCTGCTTCGAAACTTCACGCTCAATTCAATCAATTTCAACACATTTGATAAAATCAAAACAAAACAAAAACAATCAGCTTTTCCAACACTGGGAGATAATAAGGGTGCTATCGTTCTGTTCCCAACGTATCCAAACAGAGAGTCCTGTGACTCGGGGAGTGCGTACCGGTCAGCAGGGCCTGCGCTGGCGTGGATCTGAAGAAAAGCCTCGGCTGACCGGGTTCAGGTTTGCAGCACGGCAGCCAGGGTACGGCCTGAAGAGGAGGCTTCTGGAACAGAGYAAACACGATGACTGCCTGGGGTTTTCCACACAACACAGCCTTGTTTGGATATATGTGATTACCTCATAACACAGCAGGTGATTATTGGCCGAGAGTAGGTGCCGCCTGCTCATCAGCTCCATTTCCTTCAGGGTTTCGGCTTTTCTCCATTTAGCTCTACGGTTCTGGAACCAGATCTGAAGCACAACAGTCTGTTGAAACTTATATTTATATCAGAATAAATGATTAATGTACATTTTTATTTTTAATCATTTAACAGAAAAAAGTGAGACTAAACAAAACATGGATCAAAAACAATGCTCAATAAACCTGCAGCTGATTATAACTGTTTGTGTTTTTGCTTGTTTTNGAGAGAGAGAGAGAGAGAGAGAGAGAGAGAGAGAGAGAGAGAGAGAGAGAGAGAGAGAGAGAGAGAGAGAGAGAGACGAGGACTAAAGAGCGAGGAGAAAAGGAAAGCAGATCAGTACAGTTCCACGCTTCAGTTCAGCTGCTAGATAAGTGATGCATGTCTTTGCTTCAGAGGAAAAACACAAGAAATATTTTGATAGAGCTCCATTTTCTTGAGTTGATGGCTCTTTTAAGAAAATATCTCTGCTACATACACCTTTTAGAGCAGCTAAATCACTTGTTCCTTGTACTTATTTGTGTTTAAGATGGGAATTAGGAACAAARCAAGCATAAGAGCAGCTGTTGATTGTTGGCTGGTTTCTGCAGGACACACGGGTCAACAAAAAGAATATGCAAACAGTGGAGCAACTTCAAGTGTCAGGCTCCACATTAACACCTGCGCCCTCTGTGACACATTCAGTATACTGGTTACCATCTCTATGTGCCAACAACTAAAGATTAAAAAAGAGTAAAGACTGGCAATGGCAATTATAATGTCCAAATGTGTTTTACATCATGTTATCTTAAAAGAAAAATAAGCCAATACAAAAAAAGTTTGTGAACTGGGGTCACGTGTCTCTGGATCAAGGATTAAACAAGTTTAGGAGAAGTTAAAAAAACTTCAAGGGAGTCATCTTATATGATATTAGAACACAATGAAAGAATACAGATCACACGTGTCAAACTCAAGGTCCACAGGCCAAAATGTGGCCYGCCACAGCGTTTGTGGCCTTTTTATGTGGCTTTAAAGATTTTTTAATATCTTAAAATAAACATATGCTAATTTAAAGCCAGCATTTATCATAAACTGCATCGCTCCTTATGCATGTTGATTATTTTACCTGCAAAATGACGGCATCCCACCACCAGGTGGAGGAGCACAGAGTTCGAAAGCTTTTATTTATTTATTTATTTTTTACTGTGGCCCAGTTTTAATGGGAAGTGGGAATTTCCCACATACAAGTAGTAAATCTTACTGGAACACCCCTGCAGTGGGAGGTTCCTTTCAGAAAGTGGGAGAGGTGAGAATTAAAGATGGCAGCTAGTCACTACAACACAACAGTGAGAAAACATCTTTGACTTTTAATTGTATTTCTGTATTATTTATTTCACATTTAGTCAGTTGTACATGTAGAACCTTTGAGTGTTTATAAGAGGATGTGTTAAAAAGACTGTTTCTATGCAGGAAATACCAGGTAGAGCTCAGCTATTGTTTGTCAGTGGTGCTCAGCTGTAGCAACGAGTCGAGGAACGTGACATTTTCTGTTTAGTTGAAATTAAACACATAATAATTCCGTACATTATGCTCATGAGGCCCTTAGTGAAAAGTTTGACACCTCTGCTTTATATGTCATTAGCAGATGTATTAAAAATGTGCCATTTGACAAACAAACTTTGTTTTTAATCATTTAATGTGTACTATCATCCAATACATAATTGAAAAAAAAAAAACCTAAAAAAAAAACCCTTACTCCTCTTCCTCCTGGCTTTTTGGCTTCATAACCTTGAACTCCACAGACCTGTCAGCATCAGCATCTTGTTACTATAAACAGATCCATGCGTCCATAATGAGTAAATGTGGCAATAAGCACAGCCAGCATCAATTATTCAGGCTGACTCCCACACAGCACCTTCCTCCACAGAACATGTCAGTGTGTGGACTTTTCACACCAGGATGAAACTGCTTCTAATTAAAAATATTTACCCTTTTAATCCTAATCTTTACAAATCCCCGTGTTGTATTTTAGCATTATGTCTAAAAGGGCAGCATAAAAAAATCTGAAACTCCAGTTATTGTTTTAAAGCAGCTTATTTATATGATAAAGCCAAAAAAGACCAGCAGACTTACTTGAATCTCCTAAAACAATGACTGGTGAAGAGTTTCTGAGCTGCAAACAGTGATGCTTGCCACATCCACTGCTCAAATATCTCATGTTTTAAGTTAAAATATTTCACTTTTTAAACAAGACAAATAAGTGACATGCCATCCCGTGTTTTTATGATGAAAACCCGGTTTAACCCCCCCCCCCCCCCAGTGTCCACCAGGATGCCACACCGGTTTCCAGATTCCCGCAGCCAGACATGACTGCCAGGCGGGGTCGCAGCTGGCCGCACTGCGCCTCTTYGGGAAGCAGCGAACCCGGAGCAGGAAGATCCAGAGAGTCTTACCTCCTGCAGCTGCTCCAACTCCTTCCTGAGAGTCTCCTGCTCGCTTTCCAGCTCCGCGTACTTCTGCTTCAGCGCCTGGTTCTCCTCCAGGACGGCCAGACCGCACTCCGCAGCCCGGATCTTCTCCCGGTTCGCCTCGGCCAGCTCCTGCGTGAGCCGCTCCACCTCGGCCCGGTACTGATCCACCGATTCCGCGCATCCCCCGCCGGCGGCCATCGCCCCACTTCTTTATTGCTGTTGTTTTATTCTCAGTTTATTTTTTTATTTATATTGTTTTGTTTGTTTTCTCTTCCTCCCCGTCGCTCTTCCGTCTCGGACAGAGAGGCAGAGCCGGAGAGAGAGAGAGAGAGACGGGCGGAGGCTGAAAGATGCTGAGTGTCCGCCCCTCCTCTCTCCTGCTCACAGCAACAAACACTAAAAACAAACACAAATCACAACTTCTTCTTTAAACAGACCACTGACAACCTGAATAATAATATATCTGACATTAAAATAAAAAACGAAGCTTGTCTGTTGTAAACAAGGTCAATGAGGGTCTTTTCTTTGACACTCAGCGAAACAGAGGGCACAATTTCTGCTTGTTCATGGGTCAACGAGCGCCACCTGCTGGTGACTTACTGCAACATCATCATTATTTTACTCATTCGTGGATAAAGACTAGTATAAACTTTGAAAGTGGTTTTACACTAATGCTAGTTAAAAGAAAAACAAACTAAGCTTGTTGAGAAA